CCAGCCCCATGGAGACATTCAGTGCTGGGCTTCCCCCAAGAATCAAGAAGAAGAATGGGAGAGACTCTGCTGTCCCTACTCCACACTGTGGACCCGGGCATCAGTGTTCCCCACATGGCTCAATGATTATTATTAATATAGAATTGATGTAAGAACACTGTGTGCTATGGAAGTGCAGCAAGAGATGGGATCCTGACCTCACTTCCAATGTGGTGGCTGCCCACAGTCACCTCTACTACATATGGAATTCTAGAACTGCCACCTGGTCCCTCTCTGAAGACCTGAGCAGCAGCAGCAGCAAAGTCAGTCAACACTATAAAGGTCCCTGACCAGAACGACCAGAGTTTCAGGAGGGCATGTGGAGATGGGGTTCTTTTGCTGGGAAGGATGACCTTTAGGGAGTCCTAAAATGGGGAAGGGGGTCGGACTCTCCCAAATTGAATGTCACAAGATGCAATGTGGGAATAGGCATAAAACAGAAATTCTAATTCTAAAATGGAGAAATAGGCCAAAATAAAGTGGTAAAAGGTCTCTAACAAGTCCAAAACCCAGCAGGGCAGACATCAAATCTTAAGTCTGGTAAATAACCTCTCTTGATTCCAAGTATGGATTTCTCCACATGCTGGTTTGGAACTGGGCACCCGAGTCCTTGACCACCCCCCTCCTGTTGTCTGGCCATGTTTCATCTCTCCCAAACTGGCGTTCCATGCTGGTGGGTCTACAATTCTGGAGTCTCCACGGTGATCCTGCTGCCATGGCTCCACTAGGCCTGGCCCTGGTGGGGATTCTATGATGCAACTCCAACCCCACATTTCCACCTGGCGTTGCTCTAGTGAAGGCTCTCTGTAGTGATTCCACCCCTGTCACAGATCCCTAAGGTTTTTTCATACATCCTTTGAAATTTGGATGTGATGGCTCCACAAGCTCCTGCATTCTTTGCAGACTTAATACCATGTGGATGCCACCAAGGTTTCCAGCTTGCGTCTTCCCAAGCTGTGGGTCCAGCCATGCTGGGGCCAATTTAGCCATGGTTGGAGCAGCTGAAGCAGCTTCCCGAGGTGGCCTTGGGCAGTGAGCCTGTGAAGGCACCTCGGGCCTGTTCCCCAAAACCAGTCTGTCTCCCTAGGCCTCTGGGTCTGTGATGGGAGGGGCATCCTGGAAGATCTCTGAAATGCTTTCTGGGTCTTTCTTCCATTCTCTTGCTTCCCAATTACACTTAAGATCTTCTTAGAAAGGTCTTTACTGTCCATGTTTCTGTCAGTATTCTGGTCACCACCGCTAAACCGCTCTCTAAGACCTTCTGAATATTCCTTGGTCTTCTTGTCTTCTAGCCCTTACCAGAACCTAGGCTTTCTCTAGCCTGCTCTTTCAATTCTTCCAGTCTCTGATCATCACCCAGTTCCAAAGCCACTTCCACATTTTCAGATATTTGTCATAAGCGCACCCCACTCCCACTACCAATTTTCTGTATTAGTCTGTTTCTGTTGCTTATAACCAGACATTGAAACTGGGGAATTTATAAAGAAAGCAAATTTATTTCTTACAGTTTTGGAGTCTGTGAATTTCAAAGTCCAGGGGGCGTATCTAGTGAGGTCCTTCCTTCTTCCATCACAGGCCCAAAGGTTTGGGGAGGCAGAGTGGTTTAGGCCCAAGGTGCCCTCCATGGGCTTGCTGCCCAGGGTCACCATGGGATGCTGCTCCCTGAACCCTGGCTTCTTTAGCTGCTCCAGCCATTGCTAAATTAGCCCCAGATGCTGCTGAACCCTGTATTTTGAATGATACAAGCTGGAAGCCTTGGTGGTGTCCAGGTGGTGGTAAGCGTGCTGGCTTGCAGAATGCCAGAGCTGTGCAAGAGTGTTCACCCTGATTTCAAAGAATGTACACAAAAGCCTGGGGACCCAGGTAGAGATCTGTCATGGGAGTGGAATCACCTCAGAGAGCCTTTGCCAGAGCAATGCCAAGCAGAAATGTAGGGTTGGAGATGCAGCAGAGAACCCTACCAAGGCCATGCCTAGTGGAGCTGTGGGAGCAGGACTGCCATGGAGACCCCATACTTGTGGAGCTACCAGAGTGGAATGCCAGCCTGGGAGAGATGAAGCATGGCCAGAGACCAGGATAGCCCCAGCAGAGGGGGTTCCTGAGGACTTAGGTGCGCAACCCACAAACCCGTGTGCAGAGGATGCTGTACACAGAGTCAATGGAGGTTATTCACCTGATTTAAGATTTGATGTCGTCTCTGCTGGGTTTTGGACTTGTTTGGGGCCTGTCACTATTTTATTTTGGCCTATTTCTTCATTTTGGAGTGAGAATTTCTGTTTTATGTCCATTCCCCCATTACATCTTGGAAGTAGATAACTTGTTTGATTTCACAGATAAGACTTTGGACTTTTGAGGTGAAAGGAGTTAAGACATTGGGGTTGGAATGAATGCATTTACCTGTGAGAAGAACATGAACTTTGGGGGGCCAAGGATAGAATGCTATGCATTAATTTTTCCCTCAAATGTTCATGTGTTGGAAACTTAATCTCCATTGTAACAGTGTTAAGAAGGTGGGAAATCTAATTATGGTATTTGGAAGGTGGAATCTTTAAGGTGATTAGATTGTGAGCACTGTGCCCTATTGAATGGATTGATCCATTCATGAAGTAATGAGTTGATGCTTTAATGGGTGGTCATGGCCATGGTCTTGAGGATTTATAAGGAGAGTGGGTGAGCAGGTTACCTCTCCTGCTTAATCCATTCTTACTATGTGATATTCTGTGTTGCTGTGGGGAGTCACCACTAAGAACAAACCCCTTACTAGAAGTATGCCCTGGACTCTGGACTTCCCAGCCTCTGAAACTGTAAGAATTACATTTTATTTATTATGAATTCCCCAGTTTCAGGTATTATGTTATAAGCAACATATAATGAACTAATACAAATACCACAATGATATATTGTCTCATGCCCATTAAAATGGCCACTATAAAAGAAACAATCTAACATATAGTAAGTGTGGGGGAGACTGTGGAGACATTGGATCCCTGTGCACTGCTGATGGGAATATAAAATGGTGCAGCTGCTATGGAAACCAGTAAGTGGTTCCTAAAAAAATTAAAAATAGAGTTACGATATGATTCAGCAATCCCACTTTTAGTTATATATCCAAAGAACCGAAAGCATGATATCGAAGATATATTTGTATACCCATGTTTATTGCAGCATTATTCACAACAGACAACATATGGAAGCAACCTTAATGATGACCCACAGATAAATGGATAAACAAAATATGGTGTATGCATACCACAGAGTATTATTCAGCCTTAAAAGTGAAGTAATTCCTGTCACATACTACAATGAATGAATCTTGAGGACATTAAGCTAAGTGAAATAGGCCAGTTACAAAAAGACAAATAGTGTATAATTCCACTCATATGAGGTATCCAACATCATCACATTCATGGAGACATACACTAGAATGATGGTTGTCAATGGCTTGGGGAGAGAGAGAAATGAAGAGTGTTATTTAATGGGTTTGGAGTTTCTATTTGGCAAGATAAAAAAGTTCTGGAGATGTATTGCACGACAATGTCTGGAGATGCATTGCACTACAACATGAACATAATTAACACTACAGAAGGGTACACTTAAAAATGTTTAAGATGATAAATTACATATTGTATGTTTTTAACCAAAATTTAAAATAGAGAAGCCAGGCAGAGATGAGGAGCATTGTTGAAGCAGAGGCTCCACATGGGTGCACGGATGACAGTGTCGGTGTGTGAATATGGATAGGAAAAAATTCTATCTGCAATTTCTCTCACCTCATGCTGAAAAGTAGCACGTTCATCCTCTTGGAATGTTGGCCCCAAACTAAAGCCATAGTGGTAGTGGTACCAATGGCAGTGGCTGTGACCATGCCATCAGTGGAAGTCACATATGCTTTCATGAAAGAACATCACAGCAGTCACAGAATCTCCAAATATCATTTATTGTCAACCCACTTCAGAATTACTAATGGTAATCATATATTGCCTTAATAAAGAGGTGCAAATTTGGCTTAAGACTATTCAACACAAAAATAGAAGTAGTTAACACCCAACTGGTCTGCAAAATGAGAAATCTGAAATTTATATTGACGATTATCTTTACACAGAGATCTTACTGGAAACCAGCCACATACATTCTCCCTCCAAACCGCTTTCAAAATTTGGTCCTGTTGACTTTCCATTCTAATGCCTTATTTCAAATCTTTATGGAACTTAATTATTATGGGTTATGATTAAGTTTCCCCCAATTCAGACCCAGGCCCACCCCATTCTGCTTCCACAGAGTCTTTCTGTTCTCTCGGTGCCTTCTGATGATGGAATATTGTCCTGATCCCTGGGCTCCTTCCTCTGCCTGTCTGAAAGGCTGGGCCTTTTTTCAGAGGAGGGCTCACAGTCTCGATCCATGTGGTACCTCCTGGAGAAATGCAGAGCTTTCCTCTCACCATGATATTCATCACCTTGAATAACATAAAGTGACTCAAAAAGTCTGTATCAGAGCAGTGGCCCTTGGACCATCTGGAGAGATATCACGGTTTAAATATACAGTGAGCATAAGGTGCTGTGCAGAAACTCCCAGGACACATGGCCGGAATTGTGAGGGCTGAGGGTTGGGGAGGGTGGGACCCCTGAGCACCAGCACCTGTCCTGGGTCAACGTGTCTCTTCCACCCACCAGAGGGCGCTGTGGCCTAAGCCCCTCCTTGCTGCTGCCCAGTTTCTCAGAAACTGCCCCCAACCCTTGCAGGTGTTCCCATGCTCTCACGGGAGTGAAAAAAAAATCCCAAACCAAAAAACAACCCCCCAGTCTCTTTTCTCAGCCAGAGCCAGTTTGACGTCAAAGGAGGGGTTTGTGCAGCTTCCAGCAAAAGGAAGATTTGCATGGAGACCTCCCACTCTGAGGATAAGAAGGCTTGGGGAGCTCTGGCCTCACTGGGGCTCAGTAAGCAGAGCCTGGGATTGCTCCACCATGGCCTGGGCTCCGCTCTTCCTCACCCTCTTTGCTCACTGCACAGGTGACTGCCTGCAGGGGACTCCAGGAGGGCACCTGGATGTCGCTTGAGATGACGACCTCTCCCTCCTCCCTGAGAATGAGGCCTGGCTTGTCTTCACTGATCTATGTGTCTCTCCCTTGCAGGGTCTTGGGCTGAGGTTGTGTTCACTCAGCCCCAATCTGTGTCAGGGTCTCTGGGACAGACAGTCACCATCTCCTGCACCCGCAGCAGTGGCAGCATTGATGATAGATATGTGCACTGGTACCAGCAGCGCCCGGGCAGTGCCCCCACCACTGTGATTTATGAAGATAACCAAAGACCCTCAGGGGTTCCTGATCGGTTCTCTGGCTCCGTCGACAGCTCCTCCAATGTCGCCTCCCTGACCATCTCTGGGCTGCGGCCTGAGGACGAGGCCGACTACTACTGTCAGTCTTCTGATGGCAGCTATATTCACACAGTGCACCAGAGCCATGGGGAAGTGAGACGAAAACTCCCCAGAGCATCCCCATCATGGGTCAGCCTCAACCTGACTTCACCAGGGAGTTCACCAGGCAGCACTGCTCTTTTCTTTTCTTTTTTTGATTTCACTTTAAAAAACCCCTTTATCCCTACTTTCTTTTTTAAAATTTTATTTATTTATTTTTCATTTTACATATTTATGAGGCACCGTTTGTTGTTTCACTACATGCATATATTGTGTAATAATCCAATCAGAATAGTTAGCATTTCTATCACCTAAACATTTTCATTTCTTTGTGGTTATAACATTCCAGATCCCCTTTTCTGGCTGTCTTGAGATATACAATACAATGTTATTAGCTATTGTCACTCTAGAGCGCCAGAACTTACTCTTCCTGTCTAACTGTGACTGTGTAACTTTGTACCAGTTTACAAATATATATATTTTTTTGTCCTTTTTTGAGACTGGCCGCACCGCGCTCAGCCATTGAGCGCACGAGCCATCCCTATATGGGATCCGAACCCGCGGCGGGAGCGCTGCTGTGCTCCCAGCGCCGCACTCTCCCAAGTGCGCCACGGGCTCGGCCCCAGTTTACAAATCTTTCCCTGGCTCCTCCTCCTCCCTTCCTTTCCCTGTCTCTGGTAACAGCTATTCTACTCTTTATTTCTCTCTTTTTTCTTTTTAATTTAGTTTTCATCATTGACCCATGATAATTATATATACCTGTGGAGTGCAATATGCTATTTGGGTGCTTTCTTATTGTGTGCAGTGATCATATCAGGGTGCTTAGTATGTCCATCACCTCAAATATTTGTCACTTCTTTGTGTTGGGAACATTCAACATCATCTCGACTAACTACTCAAAGATACACAGTACTTCGATGTTGACTGCAGTCTCTCTGTACTGCTATTGAACACTGGATCTTATTCTTCCTATTGCTCTACAGTTTTTTATCCACTGACCACTCTGTCCTCTTCCCCCTCTCCCTCCCCTTCCTAGTCTCTAATGACTACTAATCTACTCTCTACTTCTATGAGATCAAACTTTTTTCTTTTTTTTCTTTTTCGTGATCAGTAAGGGGATCACACCCCTTGGCTTGGTGTCCCCCACCCCGCGCTCAGCCAGTGAGCGCACCGGCCAGTCCTATATAGGATCCAAACCCGCGGGGGGAGCGTCGCCGCGCTCCCAGCACCTCACTCTCCCGAGTGCGCCACGGGGCCAGCCCGAGATCAAACTTTTTTAGCTTCCACATAGGAGTGACAACATGCGGTATTTCTCTTTCTGTGTCTCGCTTATTTCACTTAACATGGTTTTCTCCGAAGTCACTCATAGTGCTGTAAACAGAAGAATTTCATTGTTTTTTATGGCTGAGTAGTATTCCATTGTGTATATATGCTGCATTTTCTTTGTCCAATCATCTGTTGAAGGACATTTAGGTTGGTTCCAACTCTTGGCTATTGTGATAAACATGGAGACGTGATAAACATATTGATTTCCATTCCTTTGGATATATTTTTTCTGTCTCCTGCTTGAATGCTGAAGTTTGAATTTTCTGTTCAAGAGTCCTTTTATTTTTTCTCCCGAATATGAATTTCTTCTCCCATGTCTTGATGGATGATCTTTTAATCCCTTTGCAGTGACTTCATGGAGAAGATTTCGTTCAAAACAGGGTTTATGAACCTTGGCACCATTGACAATGTGGGATAGATTATTTCCTGTGGTCTTTAGCTTCCACATAGGAGTGACAACATGCGGTATTTCTCTTTCTGTGTCTCGCTTATTTCACTTAACATGGTTTTCTCCAAAGTCACTCATAGTGCTGTAAACAGAAGAATTTTCATTGTTTTTTATGGCTGAGTAGTATTCCATTGTGTATATATGCCGCATTTTCTTTGTCCAATCATCTGTTGAAGGACATTTAGGTTGGTTCCAACTCTTGGCTATTGTGATGAACATGGAGACGTGATAAACATATTGATTTCCATTCCTTTGGATATATTTTTTCTGTCTCCTGCTTGAATGCTGAAGTTTGAATTTTCTGTTCAAGAGTCCTTTTATTTTTTCTCCCGAATATGAATTTCTTCTCCCATGTCTTGATGGATGATCTTTTAATCCCTTTGCAGTGACTTCATGGAGAAGATTTCGTTCAAAACAGGGTTTATGAACCTTGGCACCATTGACAATGTGGGATAGATTATTTCCTGTGGTGGTGGCTGTTCTGTGCGTTGTAGGATGTTTAGAAGCATCCTTGGTCCCCACACGTCAGATGCCAGTAGCAACCTACTCTTCAGGTCGTGACAAAGAAAATCTCCAGACATTGCCAAATGTTTCCCCCCTTGGGGCAGTATCACCTGAGTTTGAAAAGTACTGGGTTAAAAGACCATGTTGTTATCTAAAGGAAGCCTTTGACTTTGAATCCTGTTTATGCCATTAAGCTGGAGGTAAGGCTGCAAGTATTTACAATCTGTGTTCCTGCTTTCTCATCTGTTGGACAAAACAGTTGCACAGAACTCAAATGATTGTTTTGATGGATGAATAATATTCCAAGCACCAGAGGTCAGAGAACCTGTTAATCAATCACACAGAATCTTCTCCCCACTAAAGTGTCAAGTACAGTTTTTGGCCAGACTAAGTATGTAATGAAATTTTTAATCCTCATACAAGCTCATGAAAGTATAATACAACCATCACCATTTATTCTGTCGGGGAGTATTTTTAAAGCATAGGATATTAAGATGAAGAAAAATGTGACAATGTCCTAAACTCTTGGAGTCTACATTTTACGATGGATATGAGACAAGTCAGAGCAGATGCATCACTGTGTGGACAATATTGCACTTTTTTCACCAGAGTGTCTGGGATCAGATTTTGGCTCTGCCTCTATTTGCAAGTCCTTTAATCCTAAACTCTTGGAGTCTACATTTTACGATGGATATGAGACAAGTCAGAGCAGATGCATCACTGTGTGGACAATATTGAACTTTTTTCACCAGAGTGTCTGGGATCAGATTTTGGCTCTGCCTCTATTTGCAAGTCCTTTAACACCAGTGAACACTATAGTCTCCACCAATGACATGTAGATATTTATATTTAAGTCTAAGTTTATTAAAATTAAAGAAAATTAAAAGTTTTATCTTTCAGTCTCACTAGTTGAATTTCAACTGCTCAATGGCCATGTCTGCCTAGTGGCCACCAAATTTGACAGGCTAGATATAACATTTCCATCACAGCAAAAAATTGTCTACTGGACCATTCACATAGCATTTCCTTAACTCTTTCATCAACTGTAAAGTGGGATGTCTAAAGCTCTAAATAATTTTCATACTTTCCACAATCTCTTCAGCCCTCTCTGTGGGAGTGTTATATTGAACCACTGCACCTCACTGACGTCAGGCGTGGTTACATGATTAGCTTAGGCCAATGAAATGAGAAGTGAAAAGTGTAGTTTCTGAGCACCAGATGCAAGACTAGCATGTGCTTAGCCACGTTATCTTCTTTCTCTACTGTGAGATCAGCAGTTTACCCAGTAGGATTTTCTCTGCTAGCCTGAATCCTGTAATGAAGATAAAATAAGGAAGAGGTACAGCTGATTGGTGTTGGAAATGGTGTATAATGAGAAGTAAACTTTTGTTTTTGTTTGCTACTGGGATATTGGTGTGATTCATTGCTGCAACCTATCCTGAGCACTACAGGAATTAAAATGGAAAGTGGGGGTGGGGTGGGGGCAGCAGTATCAAAAATAATGAAATATATAGAATTGGCTTTTGTGACTGACAGTGGGCATTGATTAAACTGTTTATGATGGTTGCAAAAATAGTTTTCCATTTTATTTATTGGCATATATTTCATTAGATGTTACCTGCAAAACACATAAGAGGAAAAATAATTCTAATAAGCCAATGGCTGTAGGATTAGAGTTGGAATACTGATTGCAAACATGGGTTAATTCTCACTGTTTGAATTTTGCAACACACCTCTAAGAGATGAGCTTAGAAAGTACTTTTTTTCTTGTTTCACAAATAGAAGAAAAGGACAAGAATGAGCATCATAAAAAATGAAAAAAAAAAAAGGAATCATAGAGAATTGCAGAATTGCAAAAGCAAATTTTTCTCAATCCCAAACGCTTAAAGACAAATTTGAAAATGCTTGAGTTAAACATTTCCCTTTCCAAAGGATGACACGTGGATGTGCCTGAGTCCAGCTGGGCAGCTCCTCACAAACACAGAGAGTCCATTAGTGCAAGTAATATTGAGCTAAGGACAGTGCCCGGCACACAAACATCTCAATCGGTATGTGTGGAGTCACATTAAAAAGATGAAATAGCAGAGGCCAAGGACCAGGAGGAGACTGAAGTTTTACATGTGGTCAGCAGGGGGCCCTGTGGGACAGTTTTTAGAACCCCATAAACTGTGTTCGCAGGTGGAGAAGTCCCCAAAGGATTTCAAGTCTTTGTGGGGTGGACGGAGGGAAGTGGACCCTGTGCTCACTGATGGGCACTCAGCAGCCGTGTCCTGTGTGTGTTGCGACAGCAACTGCTTCCTCTCAGGTCCTGCCCATCAGGAAATTCACTTTCCACAGGCCCCCAGTCCTTTTATTATGACACATTGTGGTGGCAAAACATGCCCATGAGCAGCTATTCCTCTGTGAGGCAATTGGGGAGGGGATAAGGCCTGGCGCTGCCCAGCCCTGCTGTGAGGATCAGGAGAACTGTGTCCACCAGGGCCTGGATGCCTCTCCTCCTCCTGCTCCCCTCTCACTGCACAGGTAGGCTCTGTTCTCAGACATCAGGGTCAGCTTCTCCATCCTGAGCCCACCACCCTGGCTCAGACTCCCAGCAGGCTAAACCTGGTATCTGCTCCAACACCCACAAGTGTCTGTGTCTGCAGGTTCCCTCTCCCAGCCTGGCTGACTCAACCAACCTCCCTCTTTGCACTTGTAGGAGCATCTGTGAGTCTCTCCTGCACCCTGAACAGTGCTTCCATGTGGGTGACTTCTAGACATGCTTATGCCTGGAGAAGCGGGGGAGCCCTCCCTGGTATCCTCTACAGTACCACTCAGATTTTAATAAGCAACAGAGTTCTGGGGTCCCCAGCTGCTTCTCTGAATACAAAATGCCTCGGCCAGTGCAGGGCTTTGGCTCAACTCTGGGCTGGAGCCTGAGGACAAGGCCGATTACTACTGTGGGATCTGGCACAGTGGTGCATCTCATAGTGACACAGACAGATGGGGAAGTGGGACAGAAACCCCACAGGTCGTGGTCTATGACTCTTACTTTGTTGATGTTGAAATACATCTATACTACATTTATTAAAACAAAACAAAACAGAAACTCCACTCAGAAAATCTCTCCCAGTTTTTCACCAAATAACTGCAAGGACTAAAAAAAAAAAAAAAAAAAAAAAAAAAAAAAAAA